ACGTGCTGTGTAATTTGAGTTATACTCTTGATGGTGTATTTGAAAGGAAGAAATTAAGGATGCAGTTCTCAGTTAAGAAAGAGAGGTTGACCTTAGGTGAAATCTGCAAAACTGATCATTTGAAATCCAGAATTGGGATTTAAAAAAAAAAAAAAAATATATATATATATATAAGGAAGACCACGTCATAAAGAAAGAAACCAGCATAAAGAAAAAGAGGGAAGTTCAATATCGTCTCAGTGAAGTGATACAAGTAATTTTTCAAGGCACGTGAACCTCCCAGCCTGTAGTACACGTATCACACACTACTGGTATGCAAGTCACATTGACATTGCACACAAGTGTTGGCCCCGTGTTGCCCAGGGCCGGATTCCTCTCTCCTCTCCATTTGCTTTTCATTGGGAAAAGTGAGTGGAGCCATTTTGTGGCCTACGCATCGCGGCTATATTTGTAGTAAGTGTTGGGTGGCTTCAGCTGGGGAGGCTCTAATTCCACATCACGTCCAGTTTCCTATTTAGTATGGAGAGCGGAACACTACTGCAATGTGGCCGAGAGAGATAAAACCCCAGCAGTGGCCCGCCTGCCCTGATAAGCTTCTAAACCCATTATTTATGAAATGATTCATTATTATTTGGCAATTTTATCGAAGGAAAGCGGAAAATTATTGCAGGGATATGCATAGGAATAACTCCGGAATGCATGCCTTCTAGCTTTTTATGTGTGTGTGCTTAGATGCTCTTAAAAAGACACTGAGAGAAAAAAAAAAAAAAAGGAGTAATAAAAAATTGCACTGTGGCTGCCCGCATCTGAATAGCAATTCTTTATTTTAGTCCTCTTGGAGGTTATTATGCCCCTGTTTGTTTTTTTTTTTTTAAATTTTTATTATTTTTATTAAATATGGAACACCTACTCCGTTCTTAATTAAATTTAATGAGACAAAATAAATTGTTGGAGATGTCGAGAGAGAGGGAAGGGGTGTTGGCTGCTTTGGGACAAGAGGAGGTAAATAAAGCGCATCAAGAGGAGATGTTTTGGAGAGAAGTGGCCCCATCCCCAGCCTTCCTCCCCCTCCCCCCCGTGTATTTTCGCTGAAGGGCTAAATTGGGGCGAGCTCCCTGTCTCATCTCTCGTGCTGGGGGCAGGGGGAGGCTGAGCATCCCTGGCGGGCCGGGGGGGGGGGGCTGGGGGCGGGGCGGCGCGGCGGGGGC